TCTTCTGCCTGGGGTAGCTGTAGCTGCGGCTGGGGTCCAGCAGGAGGTGGCTGCGGGCGTGGCCCTCGGAGGATGCTCCCGAGTGATGGCTGGGCCAGGAGAGCCGGGCAGACAGCGGGTCCGAGGGGCTGGCCGGCGGGGACTGCAGGTCCACCGAGTCAGGCTTCCCACGGTGGCATGGGTAGCAGGAGGCAGGGGCGCTGTCGGAAGGGCTGGCGTCGCTCTTAGTCACGCTGCTGAAAGCCAACACAGAAAGGGAGGTTAGCGGCCAAAAAGCAGGGTCAACCACAAGCCTTTCCTTCTCCCCAAGATGCTGCTGCCGAGTAGGAAAATGCAGTTAGGAATGTAGCTACCATTTCTTATCATCCTATATAATAAAAGAGAAACATGTAAATTGACTGTCCCTCCGCTACACTCATCAGCCAATCAGGAGTGAGTATGCAAATTAACCAAAAAGATGGCGGGTTAATTTGCATACACAGGTGCCGGGCAGAGAGTAGAGCAGGAGAGCCAGCAGAGAGTGGAGCGACTTGGGGAACTTGGCTCCCCAAGCTGCCAGACAGAGAGCAAAGAGGGAGAGCTGGTAGCTTGGAGGACTTGGCAGAGTGGAAGGCCATGGGATGGAGACAGAGCAGGAAGGGAAAACCAAGAGCGCGGGGAGCACCAGGAATTCTGGGAATGGTAGTTCTGGTGGCAGCCCCAGGACCAGAAGCGAAAGCCCAGAGTGCGGGGAGCACCAGGAATGCTGAATCGTAGTTCTGGTGGCAGGCGTGTTGTGGAATCTTCTAGAGTAGACACTAGAGCAGTGGTCGGCAAGTGTGGGTTTTTTAAAAATCAAATACAGGAATCATGAAAGCACCTCACCTAGCCATCTAGGAGGTGCTTACTGAATGCTAGTGTGATTCTCCCCTGTCACATTCCTCCACAGAAGGAGGTAAGGGATCGTGAGGGAACCTGAGGGACCAGGGAGAAGAAATACCACCAGGACACACCGTCATTTCCCGCATCCCCTTCTGTTCAGTTCAACAACTTGGTTCTTCTACTGACCAGCCGCTGTGCAGGGCTAAGGATGCAAAGGTGAAGGAGACGGTCCGCTGTGAAACATGGACACAGACAGGAAGATGGAAGAGGAGGTTCCTTCAAAAAGGGAAGCTGCTATCAGCTGGCCGTGGCTCAGTGGTTGACCGCCAACCTATGAACCAGGAGGTCACGGTGTGATTCCCTATCAGGGCATATGCCCTGGTTGTGAAGGATCTTTCCAGTAGGGGGCGTGCAGGAGGCAGCCCACCAATGATTCTCATCATTGATGTTTCTCTCTCCCTTACTCTCTGAAATCAATAAAAATATACTTTAAAAAACTAAAAAGAGAATCTTTAAGTTACGAACATATATTGGTAATTATGGATATGAACATGACTTAAAATGCTACGGGGAGATGGCACATATATGTATACACACATATTTAACTAACAAGAAACACATTCTTGGTGGGGGCCTAGATCTTTCTGATGAGAAACACCGTTCAGCCATGCGTGGGCTTCTCCCCAGCGGGGGCTGGATTGATTGGTGGCGCCCGCAGCAGCCAGGACGGGGTGGCAGATGGGTGCCTGGCGCTTGCCATTCTGCGCCTGGGACACGACCACATCGCTGCCGCCACCACCATGACTCTCTGTCCACCCAAGAGCTTGAGGCAGAGTAAACGCTCCGGGCACGGTGCTGGTGTTGGCCTGGCTTCAGCGCTATCGAGTCACATTAGCATAAAGAGCCCAATGTCTGCAGAACAAACAATACCTGCGAAGACGAGATACCCGAACCCGTGAGCTACCTGAACCCATGAGCTACCTAAACCCGTGAGCTACCTAAACCCGTGAGCTACCTGAACCCATGAGGACCCGGGGGTGGAGGGGTATGCGGGGTGGGACGGGGGGAATCGTGCAAGTGTGCTTGGCTCTGGGGACTGAGCCAGCACGTGCTTGGGGGGCACCGGCGGTGGCGCCAGGGGACCTGAGAAGACTCACACCCCGGCCGACTCCACACCTTCACGGGCTCCCAAAGAGAAGCGGGGCCCCTCTATTTTCTAGACATAAGAAATGCCTGGAAGTTACGTGGAGACAGATGGCAAACTTGACGTGAAAGGTTCCTAAGAATAGGGTTGGCATTTGCCCATGGTGACAAGAGCTGTCTTGTGAGAGAAGGCGCTCTGAGCAGGGGGCGTGCAGATGGGACGGAAGGACACCTGGCAGCGATGGCCCAGAAGGGCTCGTCCTGCCTGGGGGACCCCGAGGAGAGCGAGCCAGGGACCCTGCCACGGCTGAGTCCCGAAGGTGCAGCCTGGTTGCTCATGGCACCAAGTGGAAGGGACTCGTGCTGGTTTGTGAGAGCTGAGGGCTGAGGGCAGCCCACGGATTGCTGCCTACCAAATATGTTCAATTGAAAAACGGCAATAAAGGACGGTAGGTCCTACCTGACTCTGAAAGCCAGAACATGTTAAATGCCAGCGCTGACAAAGAATCAGAGACTCACATACCAAATGGCCAACTACTTTAAAGAAAAAAATTTCTTTTTATTGATTTCAGAGAGGAAGGGAGAGGGAGAGAGAGAAGCACCAATGAAGAAGGAGAAACATTAGAAAGA